TCAATGTTGTTCGTTCTCTATTTGAGAGGTCGACGGGAGGTAGATGGACGGTCGAGATGGAGTCTTTTTCGGAGTTCATTGATGTTTTTAGATTGATTGATTTGCCTTTGGTGGGTGGGCCCTTCACTTGGTCCAGTGGTTGTTCTCCTCCTACCCTCTCTCAACTTGACAGATTCCTTGTGTCGAGCGATCGGGAGGAGCACTTTGCGGATGTTGTCCAGGCCACTTTGGCTCGCCCTTTGTTTGACCATGTTTCGTTGATGTTGGATTGTGGTGGGCTGCGTAATAGAAGATCCCCCTTCAGGTTTGAGAATATGTGGCTTCGAGCTAAGGGTTTTCTGGAACGAGTCCGTTCTTGGTGGGTGGGGTATGGAGTTACCGGCACCCCTAGTCACTATCTCACAGGTAAGCTGCGTTTTTTGAAGAATGATCTTAAAGTTTGGAACAAAGAGGTTTTCGGTAATCTTGTGTGGAGGAAGAATTGGGTTTTCTCTAAGATTGCAAATATTGATAGATTGGAGGGTCAGGGTATTTTGTCGGATTCCATAAAACTTAGGAGGGTGAAGTGTCAGGTGGAGTTTGCTGAGATTGCTGTCATGGAGGAAATCTCTTAGAGGCAAAAGTCTAAAGCTTGTTGCTCAAGGAAGGTGACAACAAGATGAAATTTTTTCATAGACTTGCCAATGCTCACAAAAGGGGCAATCATATTGGGAGGATTCGGGTGGATGGGGAGGTGTTTTTCAAGGAAGAGGAGATTTGTAAGGGTTTTGTTGATTTCTTTTCAGTGTTGTTCACTGAACCGATTGGGTGGAGACCCTTGCTGGCAGGGCTTCATTTTGACTCTATTTTAGGAGAGGAGAGTTCTTTACTGGAAGTGCCTTTCTCTGAAGAGGACGTTTTATCTGCTTTGAAGAGCTGTAATGGGGATATGGCCCAAGGTCCAGATGGTTTTTCCATGAGATTCTTTTTAGAGTGCTGGGAGGTGGTCCGAGAGGATGTGATGGGCTCTTTTCACGCTTTCCATGCTCATGGCTCTTTTGAGAAGAGTTTGAATACCACTTTCATTGCCCTCATTCCCAAAAAAGGAGGGGCGCTAGATGTTAGGGATTTTCATCCTATTAGTTTGGTGGGATGTTTTTACAAGTTGATTGCTAAAGTCTTGGCTTCTAGGCTGAGGAAGGTTCTGGATGGCGTCATCTCTGATTCTCAGAATGCTTTTGTGGGAGGCCGTCAGATTTTGGATTCTGTTCTTCTTGCCAGTGAATGTGTGGACTCCAGGTTAAGCAGTGGGGTTCCGGGTTTTTTGTGCAAGCTGGACATTGAGAAGGCTTATGACCATGTGAGTTGGAGTTTCCTCCTCTACTTGATGGAGAGGGTGGGGTTCGGGGGATGATGGAGGAGATGGATCCTTTTTTGTATCTCTAGTGCGCGTTTTTCTGTCCTTGTGAATGGAGCTCCGACGAGGTTTTTCTCTAGTTCGAGGGGCTTGAGACAGGGGCATCCGCTTTCTCCTTTCATTTTTCTTTTTGTGATGGAGGAGCTTAGCAGGTTGTTAAAAAGGGCTGTTGAGCTGGGTTTGTTAAGAGGCTTTCGGGTGGGTAGAGATGTTGCTAGTCAATTAGAGATTTCTCACTTGATGTTTGCAGATGATACCTTGGTTCTTTGTAATGCTAATGCGTCCTAATTGAGACACTTGAGATGCGTTTTGATTTGGTTCCAAGTTGTCTCTAGGCTTAAGGTGAATGTCGGAAAGAGTGTTTTAGTGCCGGTTGGGGATATTCCTGATATCGAGATGTTTGCTCAGATCCTTGGATGTCGCACTGGCTCTTTTCCCATTTCTTACTTAGGCTTACCTCTGGGTGCTCCTTCGAGATGTTTGGGGTGTTGGGATCCGGTGGTGGATAGATTTGAGAAGAGGTTGACGGGTTGGAAGAAGCAGTACCTCTCCAAAGGGGGGCGGGTCACTCTGATTAAAAGTACTCTCTATTGCCTTCCCACCTTTTTCATCTCCCTTTTTCAGATTCCTTCTTCGGTGGCTGAGAGAATTGACAGTTTGCAGCGTAATTTTCTTTGGGGGGTGGGAGAGGAGAGGAGTTCAAGTATCATCTGGTTCGTTGGGAGCAAGTGTGCTGCCTTTTCAGAATGAAGGTTTAGGGATTAGAAAGATGTTGCCTTTCAATAGGGCTCTTATTGGGAAATGACTTTGGAGATTTGGGGTTGGGAGGCAGTGGCTTTGGAGGAAAGTTATTGCTAGCAAGTTTGGGGAAAGCAGTGGTGGGTGGTGTTCTCTTGAGGTGCGTGGCTCTAGGGGTGTGGGGGTTTGGACTTGCATTCGAAAGGGATGGGACGTTTTTCGTAAACATGTTCGTTTTCGGATCAGGGATGGTAGGAGGATCAGATTTTAGGAGGACCTTTGGTGTGAGGAGCTTCCCCTTGCTCTTTTTTTCCCACGGCTTTACAAGATTGCTTCTGATAGGCAGGCGCTAGTGGTTGACTGTTATCATCTTGATAACGGAAGACTAACTTGGGATGTTCAGTTTAGGAGGCATTTTCAGGATTGGGAGATTGAGGAGGTCACTCGTTTTTTGGAGTTCTTGTATCGTCAGGTGATTTCTCATGAGTCTGATTGTTGGCTTTGGAGTCCACACTCTCAGGGTCGTTTCGAGGTGAGGTCCTTTTTCAGGTGCCTTATTGTTGGTGATGGTGGTCCTTTCCTTTGGAAGGCTATTTGGCGCTCCAAGGCTCCCCTTAAGGTGGTCTTCTTTGCTTGGACTTCTGTTTTGGGAAAGATTTTAACCCAGGATAATTTGAGGAGGAGGAATCAGGTGGTTATCAATCGCTGTTACTTGTGCCGGCGCGATGAGGAGACAGTGGATCACCTTCTGTTGCATTGCAATATGGCCAGAGATTGTTAGGATTTGATGATTGGGTTATTTGGGGTCTACTGGGTTATGCCCTGTTCCTCTATAGGGTTGATTGAGACTTGGAGAGGTGTCTCAGTTAGGGCTCTCATTCGAGATGCTTGGAGGGCTACCCCTCTCTGTATTTGGTGGTGCATTTGGCTCGAGAGGAATCGGAGATATTTCGATGACAAGGAGAAACCTATTTCTATGCTTAAGTTCTCCATTATTTCCACTCTTTTTTGTTGGGTCTCAGGGAGTGATTGTCGTTCTGTTGAGGAGATTGTTATTTTTTTTGGCTTCTTTGAAGGCTTAAGGCGTTTTGTGACCTTTTGTTTCTATGGGATTCGCTCCCCTTTTGAGCGCTTTTTATAAAATTCTTACTTATCAAAAAAAAAAAAGTTGTGTGGGAATTCTAAGTGTCATTCTAGGAAAAGTCAAGTGTCATTAATAGTAATATTATAAAAGGGACAACCCTCTATATTTGCTGTAACCAAGTCATAATCAATATATTTTGAGTTATTATCAGATTTTAAACAATTTCTTCAGGCTTTTCCCAGATTTTTCTTTAGAAATCTAGGGCTTTAACGGTGATTAGAGTATTGTTAGTCATCCTTATTACTGTAAGAAAACTTTTGTTTTATTCTATTTGCTTCAAGAAGAATGGAAGAAAAAACTAGGGATGACCACGGATTGGATTGGATTGGATTGGTATCGATCCTAAGAGCATCTCCAATGGCCTCTTAAATGGGCTCTCAAACTCAAAATATAGTAGGTGGATGAAAATAAAACACTCCAATGGCCTCACAAAAGACCTCTTAAAACATGGAATGGTTGTTGTGTCAAAAAATAGCATTTTGGATGAAATGCACCATTGGAGCATAATTGCAAAAATATAGCATTTTGACACTGTAACTCCTCTCAAAATATAGATTTGGCATGGAAATATAGCATTTTGCATTGGAGATGCTCTAATTCGATCAACTCCCAATGGATTGGAAAAATCTTAACCCGCCACCAATCCGTGGGATAACGGATCGGATCCGTGAAATGACAGATCGGATCCGTGAAATGATGGATCGGATCGGATCCGCGGATTGGGGTTTTCCTAAATTGTCCAAAATTATTTATTTTTTAACCATAGCCCAATAGATAAAATTTCAATTTATTCATATATTTAAATGATCATTAATTAATACATTCTTAGAGTCCATTAAATGATCATTACCTAATACATTCTTTGAATATATATATATAAATCTTGCGGATCAAATCGGATCAGACTCACGAATCAGATGGATTTTAACAGCCCAATCCCTGATCCGATCCATGAGCTACGGATTCAATTTTTTTGAATCCGCCAGCGATCCGTGGGTATAGCAATCCAATCCACTTTGCACGGATAGGATCGGAATCACGCATTCATGAATTATTTGCCAACCCCTAGAAAAGGCGGAAGGTAGGAAGGAGAAAGGGAGCAAAGAAATTTCATCATTTAGGTCGGAGAAAAGGAGAAGAGAAGGAAGACAGTATGGGGGACCTTTCCTTTGGGTCCATAAAACTCTTTCCCACCAAAAGTGGGAGAAAAGGTGAGGGAAAGGGATCACAGTCTTTTACACATTTTTGCCACGATAATAAAAAATGAAAAGAAAAAAAAAAAAAAAAAAAAAAAAATCTTCAATATAAAAGGGTACGATAGTAAACTCACACATCACTCCGATTCCTCCTACTTTGTTTATTTCTCACTCGACAAAACAAAAAAGAAAAATCCCTTCCTTTCGCTAGGGATACCCCTCCCCCCATCCCTCTTATCTCCCCTTCCTTCCAATTTTGCAACTCTCGTACCTAAGGATGCAGTAGTCTATAAAAACTTCAGCCCAAGATAGAGCACCAACCCCAACTTAATAAAGATCAAGTGGGACCGACTTAGGCTATATCAAACTTAATAAGGTCGGTAACAATAAAAATTGATAGATGTAAATGAGGTAATTCATGATTTTAGGGAGTAGAAATAACAAAACTAAACATGAACATCTTATCATAATTACTAAAAAAAATTAGCAAAACATAGGCATCTATGTAAAAAGGTAAGCTGATTACCAATTATTCTCTTGTTCATAATAACAAATACAAACAGTTTTAGCCCCACTTCCAACGGCAAACTTGTTTTCTGAAAGAAGAATTAGTGAATAGATAAGAAGAGAGAAACAAATTCTACAGACAAATCATTAGAGAAGTTACATCATCCATGCATATGAATAAGAGGGATGCACTTAAATTACACACACATAATGTATATAATGAAATTAGCAGAACATAACACACTGCTGAAAACATGCAGACAAGTAGTGCACATGTTCGATGTTTATTTACAAACCATATATCATGGAAACAACTGTACAGAAGCCTGGAGCATACAATTTAATGATCATGCAAAAAAAAAAAAGAAGTGGTCTTACTCTATCTGGTGTCCTTCACCATTTATAATTAATAAATTATGAAGAGTTCAAAAGGTTACAACTACATAAGGACATGGGCGGAGCCAGTTAACGCCTGGCCTGGCCCCACCTACTATAATATATACCAAACTTATAATTTTTTTCCATGTATATATAAAAAAATTCACATAATGCCCCACCCTAAAAGTTTTATTTTCTATAATTATCTCTTAAGTTTTTATTTATTTTCTCTTTTACTCTTTAAATTCGTTTAATTTCCTTACAAACAGTTCAATTTTCTTTTTGAACCAAACTCTAAATATTTTTCACTTTCAAAGTTCTCTCATTTTCTTTCCATTTTTTATTTTTTGTCAACTACTTATCTCTCTCTTTTTTTTATAAGTAAAAATATAATAACAAACGCTCAAAAGGGGAGCGGATCCCAAAGAAATATAAAGGCCAAAAAAACGCCTCAAGCCTTCAAAGAGGCCAAAAAAAACAACAATCTTCTCTAAAGATCTATAATCTCTCCCTGAGACCCAACAAAAACGAGTGGAAATAATAGAGAACTTAAGCATAGAGACAGGCTTCTCCTTTCCATCGAAATATCTCCGATTTCTCTCTAGCCAAATGCACCACCAAATACAAAGAGGAGTAGCCCTCTAGGCATCCCAAATGTGAGCCCCAACTGAGAAACCTCTCCAAGCCTCAATCAACCCTTTAGAGGAACAAGGCATAACCCAAGGAACTCCAAACAAACCAAGCATCAAAACCCAGCAGTCTCTAGCCATACTGCAATGCAACAAAAGATGATCAATTGTCTCCTCATCACATAAGCACAACTAACAACGGTTGACCACCACCTGATTCCTCCTCCTCAAATCATCATGGGTTAGAATCCTACCCAAAACAGAAATCCAAGCAAAGAAGGCCACTTTGAGGGGGGCCTTAGAACGCCAAATAGACTTCCAAGGGAAGGGGCCCCCAGCATCAACCGTGAGACACCTGAAAAAAGACCTAACCTCGAACCGACCCTGAGAGTTAAGATCCCAAAGCCATCCATCAAAATCCCCATCTGTGATCACATGGCAATACAAAACCTCCAACAAACGAGAAACGTCCTCAATCTCCCAGTCCTGAAAGTGTCTCCTAAACTGAACATCCCAAGTCAGTCTCCCGTTATCAAGATGATAACAGTCAGCCACCATGGCCTATCTATGAGAAGCAATCCTAAAGAGCCTTGGGAAAGAGAGAGCAAGAGAAAGCTCCCCACACCAAACATTCTCCCAAAATCTAATCCTCCTTCCATCCCTAATCCGAAAGCGAACATGTTTGCAAAAATCATCCCACCCCTTCCGAATAAAGGTCCAAACCCCCACCCCCCTAGGACCATGCACCTCAAGAGAACTCCACCCTCCGATGTTTTCCCCAAATTTGCTCGCGATAACTCTCCTCCAAAGCCAATGCCTCTCAACCCCAAACCTCCTAAGCCATTTCCCGATGAGAGCCTTATTGAAAGGCAATAACCTCCTAATCCCTAAACCTCCACATCGAATCGGACAGCACACCTACTCCCAACGAAAGGGTGCTCTTGATGAAATAAGTAGGGAGGCTAAAAAGGGTGCTCTTGATCAGAGTGACCCTCCCCCCTTAGAGAGATACTGCTTCTTCCAACCCGCCAGTCTCTTCTCAAATCTATCCACAACCGGGTCCCAGCACCCCACACATCTCGGAGGGGCTCCCAGAGGCAACCCTAAGTAAGAAATGGGGAAAGAGCCAGTGCGACATCCAAGAACCTGAGCAAACATCTCGATCTGAGGAACCTCCCCAACCGAAACCAGAACACACTTTCCTACATTCACCTTAAGCCTAGAAACAACTTGGAACCAAACCAAAACGCATCTCAAGTATCTCAGTTGGGACGCATCTGCATCACAAAGAACTAAAGTATCATCCGCAAACATCAAATGAGAAATTTCCAACTGACGAGCAACATCTCTACCCACCCGAAATCCTCTCAAAAATCCCAATTCAACAGCCCTCTTCAGTAGTCTACTAAGAGCCTCCATCACAAAGAGGAACAGGAAAGGGGAAAGCAGATCCTCTTGTCTCAAGCCCCTCAAACTAGCCAAAAACCCCAACGGAGCACCATTCACAAGGACAGAGAAACGAGCACTAGAGATACAAAAATGGATCCATCTCCTCCATCGCTCACCAAACCCCATCCTCTCCAATAAGTACAGGAGGAAGTTCCAACTCACATGGTCGTACGCCTTCTCAATATCCAGCTTACACAAAACACCCGGAACCCCACTGCTCAATTTGGAGTCCACACATTCACTAACAATAAGAACTGAATCCAAAATCTGGCAACCTCCCACAAAGGCATTCTAAAAGTCAGAAATGACACCATCCATAACCTTCCTCAACCTAGATGCCAAAACTTTTGCAATCAACTTGTAAAAGCAACCCACCAAGCTAATAAGGCGAAAATCCCTAACATCCAGCGCCCCATCACCTCTTCTCAAAAGAGCCCTAAGCATGAAAGGCGTGAAAAGAACCCATCACCTCTTCTCGGACCACCTCCCAGCACTCCAAAAGGAATCTCATTGTAAAATCATCTGGACTTGGGGCTTTATCCCCATTACAGCTCTTCAAAGCGGACAAAACTTCCTCTTCAGAAAATGGCTCCTCCAAAACAGAGAACTCACTCGAAATAGAGTCAAAATGCAACCCTGCAAGTAAAGGTCTCCAACCAGAAGGTTCAATGAACAACGTCGAGAAATACTCAGCAAAACCTTTACAAATCTCCTCCTCCTTACAAAACACCTCCCCATCCACCCGAATCCTCCCAATGGGATTGCCCCTTCTATGAGCATTGGCAAGTTTATGAAAAAACTGCGTGTTATTGTCTCCTTTCTTGAGCCACAAAGCTCTAGACTTTTGCCTCCACGAAATCTCCTCCATGACAGCAATCTCAGCAAACTCCGCCTGACACTCCACCCTCCTAAGCTTTAAGGAATCCGCCAAAATACCCTGACCCTTCCTCCAAACCAGATTACTGAAAACCTCTTTGTTCCAGACTTTAAGATCATTCTTCAAAAGACGCAGCTTACCTGCGAGAGAATGACTAAGGGTGCCAACCACACCATAACCCAACCACCAAGAACGGACTCGCTCCAGAAAACCATCAGCCCGAAGCCACATATTCTCAAATCTGAAAGGGGTGCGTCTACTACACAAACCACCACAATCCAACTGCAACGGAACATGGTCAGAAACAAGGCAAGCCAAAGTGGCCTGAACAACATCAGAAAACTTCTCCTCCCAATCACTCGAAACAAGGAATCTGTCAAGGCGAGAAAGAGTAGGAGGAGAGCGACCACTAGACCAAGTAAAGTGCCCACCCACCAAAGGCAAATCAAACAAACGAAAAGCATCAATGAACTTTGAGAAGGCTTCCATGTTGACCGTCCACCTACCCCCCGTCGACCTTTCAAAAGGAGAACGAACAACATTGAAGTCCCCACCAATACACCAAGGAAGTGACCATCTCCGTTGAACCTCCCCCAGTTCCTCCCAAAGCAAATGACGCTCACAATACTCTGTAGGACCATAAACACTAGAAAAAACCTAACAAAAACCATCTTCCAACAAAGAGAGAACGCATGAAGCAGAGAAAAGCCCAACCTAAGAGTCCATCAAAGAGACCCACCGGTTGTCCCACATAATAAGTATTTTGTCCCACAGAATAAGTATTCTGCCCGAATAACCAACTGCATCCAATGCAATCCATTCCACAAATCTCCCCCCCAAGCTTCGCACAAACAAGTCCGTCATTGAAGCAATCTTGGTTTCTTGCAGACACACATCATGACCACCCCCTTTACAAATCACCGACTTCACAACTTTCCTTCTAACCGGGTCATTGAGACCCCGGACATTCCGTGATAGTATTCGTAGCTTCATAGGGAAACACTTGAGTTGACTGCCTCTCCCCTCCTTCCCATACCCCTCTCCCCTCCTTCCCATACCCCTCTCCCTTGCCCCCTTCTCCTCCTTTCATAAGTGACAAGAGCCGAGGGGCTCGGTAAACCCCTCATCCATCCCCACCGGGAAACTTCCCCTACTCCCCCTATTTATCTCTCTTATACTACATATTATTTTGCAATAATTTTTTTCTTCTTTTGCCTCTTGATTTCTGGCTCTGCCCCTGCATAAGGAGTCCGATTATGAAAATGAGTACTATGCATATGAAAAAATAGAATTCACGTAGCCGACCCTATGTAGTTGGAAAAAAAGGCTTTTTGTTGTTGTTGCTGCACTATGCATATTCTTTTGCACAATTAAGAAAGAACGAAAAACTAGACAAATTAATGTTGGCCAGAATTCGCATGGAAACCATGAAAGAATCATACATGCTAATCCAGTATGGAAAATAGTGCACTGCATTTATGGAAATTCTTTGAAACAAAAACAATGATTTTTGACAACATTTCTTTTTTTATATATATAAATAAAATTTTAGTTAAATTTTATACTGAATGTTAGAAAATTCATGATCCATTAATCATTTCTCCTGGAAGAGAATGTCAAACATTTTAATAATCAACTCAAAGTTGGACGGTTTAACAGAACTTGGGCAGTCAACCCAACCGAAAATCACTAAGAAATCAAAGGATTTGCCATAAAAAAAATATATGTAAGATAACATGGAAAACAATAATTTCCTTATATTGTTAATTTTTTATCCTAGAATTATTGAATCTCCCGAATGTGATTTCACCAACGAAGTTAGAGCATATAACTAGTTTTCAAGAAGTTTACCCTAAATTTGACAAGTTTTAAATTGAAGTTAGAATATCCTATAATGTAACACAGCCACTGAATTCATTATCCATTGAAAATTTAAATAAATAAAAGAAGACATAAATTGAAAGAAACTGATTAACTTATCAACAAAATTCACTGTATTTCTACTCCTATATAGGAATGCCAACTAATCACTAAAATTAATGCTCACTCTCACCCTCGGAAGAACCACCTCTAATTAGAAAGAATAGCGTACATTGTTCTCAAAGGACGTCTTACGTAGTCCAAAAGCCAATGCAACTGTCATGCATAACTTTAAATAACCCCACCATATAATTCTTCAGCAACAATCCTGAGCTGTATTTCATATTTTATTTAAGCCAACTTCAATACTTTTATGCACATTTTGCAAGAAACAACTATTCACTACACACTTTTAACAATCCTGGGTTGGTTTGGCCAGGCCAGCCCATAGTTAGGCTTGGGTGGGGACAGGTTTTGGGCCTAAGACCTTCCTGTGGAAGGCTATTTGGCAGTCTAAGGCACCCCATAAGGAGGCCTTATTTGCTTGGACATGTGTTGGGGAAGATTTTGACTCAGGATAACCTAAGGAGGAGACAGGTGGTGGTAAACTGCTGCTATATGTGTAAGAGAGATGAGGAAACATTGGATCACCTTCTTTTGCATAGTCCCGTTGCTTGGGACTGCTGGGTCATGTTATTGGGTCTGCCTGGATTCCAATGGGTTATGCCTAGGTCCTCGAGAGACTCGGTGGAGGCTTGGAGAGTGTGTACAGTGGGGGGCCAAGTCCGTGAATTCTGGAAGGCTTTGTGCGTTTGGTGGTGTTTATGGCTTGAAAGAAATAAGACCCTTTGATGGAAAGGAAAATCCTATTGGTGCGCTGAAGTTCTCCATTATTAGCACTCTTTTTTGTTGGGTTTTAGGGAGAAATTGTAAGGAGATAGTTGATTTTTTGGACTCTTTGAGAGTTTAGATGCCCTATTTGGCCTTGTGTAGTTTGTGACAGATGTGTTACCCTTTTGAACGCTTTTTCAATACATTATTACTTATTAAAAAAAGAAATAGAATAGCTAAAACTAAAAATGAAAACAGGAATGTACTTCAATAATGAAAACCGCGGAAGAGAAGAAAATGTACTTCAATACCTTTTGGACTCCACTGAACACAAAGTGCAGCACGGTTTAGCCTAAGGATAACTAGGGTTGGCACCCATTCTGTTGCTTCTTGGTTCCAAACATATCTGGAAAGAAAAGTATATTCAAACATACCTTGAAATACAAAAAAACTGCAAGAATTGGGGTGGTTGGGGGGAGGGGCAAAGAGAAGTATGAATACAATATTCACAGGAGAGAGCAGGGGATAACAACTAAGATCATCAAACTTAACTCCAATTTTTTTTTTTTTTTTTTTTTTGGGTGCATATCTAACTATTACATCCAGGAAAGAACATAAAAATATTTCAAAATAAGCAGTAACTCACGAATTCCGATCATGAGATACAGTAACTATCCTGTTCGACCTTATGCTCCAATCTACCCCAGAAACAATTTGGTCATGCTGTGACAATAAAGAACAGCAAGAAGAAAAATTATTAGCATAGAGATTTCATCCATTACATGCATCAATTATGAGGTCTCATTGATATACAGGAACATTTTGATTCTATGTGGTGAGAAATAATACATGTTGTAGGAGTAGTATTGTATTTCATTTATTTTAAGTAACGATACATATAGGAACTAACCCAATAAAGGTGTAGCTCTATCATTTGTCTCTCTCACAGCTCTCTCTTGTTATTTAATATTATAACATTTTACCATCTAATCGGTCAAGGGATGGTGATCAGCTGATTGTTCTCCATCACTGGTTGAACAATTCGTGTGACTGTTTACGGTTGGCAATTGCATGCTCTCGGATTAAACATAAGAATCCAAATGAAAGTGCGACTTTCTTTGGATTGATTGATTCATTAGAGTCCACTTGTGATTTGACCTTGTTTGATCTACAGCTGATTTAAGGACATATCACAGACAACTACATTAACTAAGTTACCAAGGGATCGGGGATCCTACTCAAGTGCAGTCATTCACAGGTGCAAGGTACTTACTATTATAAGTGGATGACTGCGGTAGATACATCTGGCTTTCTTTACTTAGAGAGAAGTACTAAGCTCTTTCTAAATTTAATATATAGAAAGCTTAGAAAAAATGTAAAATCTCCAGATCAAGAGGTCGTCTGAACCCCGATGGAGTATAAGTGCCAAGGGTGTTTGATTTCATGCTCCTGAAGATAGAAATCATAAGTGTGTTCATACTCCACTACAGAATGGGGTGTCCAAAAGAAAGAATCGATGCCAGGTTGAGTCTTGCAGGACTGGGCCATGCTAAAGGCAAGGGGAGTTCCTAAAATTTTCTTGAGGTGAATGCATTAGGACTGCAGCATTTTTTGCATAACAGTAACTCTTTCGTCAATTTCCAACAAGACACTATATGATATGCTACACAACAAGGTACCAGATGTTGGGCACTCACTTGCGTCTATTTGGCTGTGTCTATTATGTTCACCTGCCAGAACTGTCCAAAGGGAAGTTGGTCATTAAGGCAGCCAAATGTGTGTTCGTTGGATCTTCCACTGAGAGGGAAGGGTGAAGGTATATGGCGCCTTCGACAGGAAGGGAGTACAAGTCCCATGCCCTCATGTTCAACGAAGCAATCCGTTGGGGGTGGTTTGCAGCAGTGAGAGGAGACGTAGTTCCTCCCTTTCTTTACTTCTTGTCCTCTTTCCTTTCTACTTTTTCCCTTAGTTTTGTTCAAAGGCCAAAAGCAGGACTTAACAAAGGATGCTGCCAATGCCCGTACAGAACCAGTATGGGACACTGAATGTAAGGACGTCTTATAAACTGTCCGTACTGTACACAGCCACCGGAAAATGCCTGAACTATTGTAATTTATCCTCTGGTGTGCTGGTTTTCACAAGTAAGGGGTTCTGATGCAACTTTGCCAGAACCTAGCTTACGTCACACGACTGCAAGGATGGACCTATAAAAATGTAAGGATGTCTACAAAGCCTGTCTTTACGGCGTATGGCCACCATTGGTGATAGCCTGCACAATTGCAATCTGTCTTCTGGTGTGTGCTGGTTGGTCATGGTTGTGGAATTTAGATTCAACTTCTATGCCAAAACCTAATTTCAAGTATTATTTTCCAATAATTATTGAAGTTCTTGTTTGCTCTCAAGTATTTGGAAGGTATTTTGCTGCTGAGGTGATTGTTCTCATGGTTAGTTTTTGTTACTTCATACATATGATGGTGCGTATCTTATTTGATAAGCTTTTCCAGTCTTTTTATGTTCCAAATTTAAATTACTGACGTGGCAACCTTGTGGGGGGGTGTGCATGGGCACATGCGAGGCACTAGCAAGCTACGGGTGCACAATCCCACATCGTCTGGGCGTGGAAAGGGGAAGTGTCATATAAGTAGGATTTGTACACTCCAATTGGTGTGAGGCCTTTTGGGATAAAACCCAAAAAGAAAATAAAAAACATACGGGCTTGGTCCAAAAGCGGACAATATCATACCATGTAGTGGACTGGGTCATTACAAATGGTATCGGAGCCTCACCCAGCCGGAAGTGTGGTCAGCAAGGACATTGGGCCCCGTAGGTGGGTGATTGTAGCGACCTTGTGGGCAAGTGTGCGTGGGCAGGATTTGCATACTCCAATTAGTACGAGTCCTTTTGTGGTGAAACCCAAGAACAAAACCATGCAGGCTCAGGCCCAAATCGGATAATATCATACCATGTGGTGGAGTGGGGGGTCGTTAAAACTAAAGTGGGGACCTTTTGATGTTCTTAGTTTTAGTTGTGATGTTCATGGTGGATGGTTGTTTTCAGGATGGTGATTATATACATGCTGTTTGATGGCATTTTAGAGTTGAAAAAAGTTGTTTTTCCCGTAGCTTTACTGTGATTTTATGTTGGGAATAGTTGCTAGTCTTGGCAGAGCAGGTACTGTGAGCTTGCTTGTATTAAGTTGGTAGTTACTTGTTACAGAGTATGGCAGACACTAGTACCTGGTGAAATTAAAATTGTCCCCGTTTCTCTGTGGGCAACGCGTGTATGCAGATTACTACAGTGAAGTTGAATGGTATTATTGATCTGTTATGGACACAAGCTATTATAGTAGCCATGGGTGGTAGAAAAAAAAATTAAATTTTATAGTATGGGCCTCCATCTAAAAGCAGCAGAATGATAGGTGGAAGTCTGCCAAATGTCCAGTATTCACGTGGTTGTGGAATAGTAATCATCAATTAGTTCAATATCAAGTTTGCAGATACCACAACAAAGATTTGGGATACAGTTTCTGATATGTTTCTGGAGAAGAATGTGTCAAGGTAATGAGATGTATGAAAATATGTTTCTTTTCTAGTGAAGCAATTAGCCTTCTGTTGAGTGTTCAAGGGATAACAAATGTGCAGATAATGATAAAGTCACTATCCAGCTGCTTATTCCATCAAAAAATTCTTGGTTGTATTATTGAAAAAAGTGTTTTCCTGCTGCAAGGGGTGAGTAAGTTGTTGTTTGATAATTAATTCTGAATAAATTAAGTGATTATCTAATTTACACAATTTGGATATCACTTAAAAAAAATAAGTTCCACTTAAAATGGAATATAAATTTAAGTGAGGGAGACTTCACTTATCACTGAACCCTGATAAACCCATGACAATGCTGTGGTTAATTCCTGTGTCAGCCCTTACCTCCAGCTAAGCAGTTTTACAATCATAAGTACTATAAGATCACTTAGTTACGATGTTATCATTCCATTAATGATGTTCACTGTTACAGCAAGTTTTAAATAGGCTTTGCTAATAGCAAAGAAGATGTGCAGTCAGTCTTATATAATTTTTATCTCAGCTCCAAATTGGAAAAAATAAAAATTTTCTTCAAACATTAAAAAGAAAACTTTGGTCTTTTTAATCAATGTGTAGTGTAACTATACTATGCAAATTTTTTCATGCAGATTTTTCTTTGTAAAACTTGAATTTACGTGAAAGCTTGTTTTATTTGTATTCATCATTTAATTGGTTGAATTTCAACTAATTTACTTCCATCTGAAATTGAATTAAAATCATTTAAGATTGTATAACTTCCAAACCTAAATAATTAGGTCCTAAAAAATGTGATATATTCTTTTCATGAATAGAAAATTATTTTTCCTATTCATGAAAAAATTCCAATAGTTTGAGAAATAATTGTATGGCTCACAACATAGTCTTAAGACATTCGTACACAAACCCCACTGAGAAAAAGAAAGGAAGGATAAATTTTATGGCTCCAACCAGAATGTGATTTTTTTTTTTTTTTTTTTTGATAAGTAACCAGAATGTGATGTTGTGGCCCAAATTTGGTGCCGGGACCCGGTTGCGACCCGTTTACAACCCGACAACCTGTTGGATCTTGACCTATTTTTTGCTTGTGGGTCGTGGACCCTAATTAGTACTATCTTGTAGCCCGATATATACAGCCATTTAGGATTTACATTGTGATATTAGAGAGAATGAAAATCGTTGAGAAAGAGAGTGAAGGGTTAAAACTTATAATCTTATATTTTTCGCATAGTGAAAACTTTCGCCAGATCTCCCCCGTGAATGTAGGTTTTGCCGAACCACGCTATATCTTTGTGTGTCGTGTGATTACTTTTTTGTCATGTTTCTTGATTTGTTCTTGGGTACGCTGCGTTTTTCGTAAAAGTTAAAAGGGCCAGAACTCTTGAAGACCACCAAATGAAACCATAATAGTGAGAGAGAAAAAAAAAAAAAAGGCTTTAAAGAAGGAGGAAGAAGGGGGGAGGGGGGTGCCTTTCATTCTAAAGGAATTAACAATTTCGTTAAAGAGGAGTAAATGAGTACATAATAGGATGAGAAAACCTACCACAAATGAGAGACAATGGCAATAAGCAAATAAAGTCAGCACAAGGTACCTTTTGAAGAATATGTATCCTCTCCCACTTCTCTTCCAATAATTGATAAATATGTACTTCATTATTGTTTGGACAAAATGCTATCACTGCAAATGAAGTGGACATTGTCTTACAAATCTCAAGAAAAATATGGGTAAATTAAATTTCTAAGGAAAAACGTGATACAAGTAAAAACTCATTTAAAATGATTTTTTTTTTTTTGTTAAAAAAAAAAAAAAGGAAAGAAAAGAAAACTCATGCAAAAAAATAGTGTGTGATATGATTACATGAGTAGAGCAACAGAGCAATATCCTGAGATTGATAGCTCATCTCAATTATATGCAACAAAATATCATAAAGCCGAGAGTTGGAGAAGTGGGATACAGAAGCCAGTTTAGCATGAGCAAGAAAATGCATACCCTGGAGTGCAAATCATGGTTGCTTTTAAAATATCTACAAATATATTACATGAATAACTGCAGAAACCTGCTTGTCTTTTACATTTGTTTGTTAATTAAGAAAAGAAATAAGAGAAAATAGAGAGGGAGAGAGAGAGAGAGAGCTTCAAAATTTTAATCAATTTGGTTACAGAGAAGAAGTGGCAAGAAAGTAAGGGAAAATAAATGATTAAGTTCACCAATGCCTCCCTTTTAAGTATTTGTACTTTATGGTTAGGTGTTATACTCATGTCCAAGTCATAGTGTAATACTTATGACTGTTTTGGGCCAAGACAAACATATTTCCCCAAGATTTAGTTTGATTTATAGCATCATGATAAGTAAGAAGCTTACATCTCGTAAAAGAAAAATTAACCAACTATAAATTAAAATTCCTTCTTAAAAGAAGAATAAAGTTTTTAAACAAGTACCTAATGACAAATAACACGATATAAATGTCATGCATGTACAAAAGGCTAAATTTTTACAACAAAATGAAAACCAGTCATAGTGTTAACATTTACCAATGCCATATAATTTTGATTCCGGACAATATGGTTGAATTGCTCTGTTAACAGAAATGAATGAGACCAACAATTTTCAACCAAAGCTTCAACACTTGAAAGTAAGAGGATTTTTTTTTTTTTTTTTTTTTTTGGCAGGTAACCATAGGGTTTTTTACCAAAAAAATAAAAAGGAAGAGAAAATGCATACCAGCTAAACAGTACAAGTCATCGCTCAAAACAAAGGATCGCCCTAGAGACATAAACCAACTAGGTGATCAGGTATAGGTATTGTGCCATCTTAGGTTTACATAACCCCAGTAAAGGTGTTCCATTTCTTGCACCCCTGATCACAGTTGACTGATCCTTCTTGGACCTTCCAAAAAGTCCAACAGCACAGCCCCTCGGGCGCACTCCCGAAAAAAACCATAGGTATGAACTCCTCCCCACCCCACCCCCAACCCCCACCAAAAATAGAGTACGTCATGATTATCAATAAAACAGAACACCTCAATTTCAATAATTGGATAAGTTTCTTTCTATTGAAGCAAATATAATGTATATTATATATGATCAGAGATTCTATCAATTTAATAGGAAAAAAGAGAACAATTTAGCTACATAATGGGACTGTTATGTGATAATGAAGGACTAATGCGATGATAATATGTATGACCAAAATAGCGATTAGAAGAGTAGCGGTACTAACTAGAGTGATCGGGACTCCAAGCATGGCAAGTAATGCACTGAGCCAACTGATGGATTGCAATCGCTGCCGCCATTTATCTGCACCGAAAGTGAAATCGTTAGGTTTTTCTTGAGGTTTTGCTACTGCTCCAACTTCTTGTGATTTTCGATTCAGTGTTACATACAAACTCTACACAAAGTGATTGGAACGGAGAAATGGGACGATCTAATTGTGGAGAGATCTAAGAACCTCGCCCTAGAGAGAGAGAAAACACAAGTCCGGAGGTTGAAGGAATGACGAGGAGTGAAGGAAATGCCAAGCTAGAAAGAAAATGACGTGTTTGCTTATTTCTTTAGTTACCTCTGCATTAAATACTATTCCGAATATTGAGAAGAGTTTTATTAGTAATTTCATGGGCAGCTCTCTTATCTAATCAGTAAATTAAAATATTTATTAAATCATTTATTTAAATTTTTATATCTTAAAAAATTATTTTAATTTAATAATAAAATAAGAATTTCTTGTTGTGATGAGTGGACTCTCATTATAAAAAATAAAAAGTTAATAAAAAATAGATTATTAAAAATTAATTAGAGTAATTTTTAAGCTTTTCCTTCCTTTTTTTTTCGCATTGCCTTGTAGGAATTATTTTTAAAATTTTCTTTATTTTCTCCTATTGCTTTATAAGAAAATTTTAAATAAAATAATAAATTGTAAGGAAAGTTAAAATGATAAGGTGTAATTATTATTGTTATCATTATTTTGTTTGATTGATGATAGAAACAAGACATGTTTTTATAATTTCTCAAGCAACACAAATGTAACTAAGCAAGAAAAATAAAATATATGACAGCCTAGTAAATAAGAGTGATAAGAGTGATAATTTATGATTTTCCTTTATTTATTTTATTGCATATAATTTTACAGGAGAAAACTTTTCTATCATAATATGATTTTTTTTTTTTTTTTTACCAAGATTTTTTTTAATATGATTGCGGCACTTAAAAAAGGTCCAATCAATGGAACCGACGGGTCTGAGCAGCGGACCGACATTAGGAACAGTGGGGCCAAAATTTTCTTTTATTTATATTTCTTACACATATGTTTCGATAATTGTAAAAGTGCTCCACTAAACTATTAAATATTCATAAAGGCCTCAAGAAAAACTTACAAAAGTCAAAATGATCCCTCATTTTATAACTTATTTGCCCCAAAAAAATTTCAAAATTTAAAAAAGACCTATATTTAAGAATCAAACTTAGAAAAGACACCTCATTTGATTAAATTTCTCTTTATTTGTATTTTCTATATGCAAATTTTGATAATTATAAAAGTTGCACAAATTGAACTCCTAAAAAATTCACAAAAAAACCCTATGAAAAATATCCAAAATTCACAAAGATCTCTTATTTTCTGACTCATTTGCCCAATAAATTTTTTAAAATTCAAAAAAGACCCACATTTTTTCTCCTCGCAATATTTTAAGAATCAAAATTAAAAAAAAAAAATTCCCTCCGTCGCTATTTATTAATTTGGTTCGGAATTTTTTATCATGTTGTTGTTAATGGTCTCCACGAGTGAGTTTGATTGAAGTAGGGATGGGAAAACCAAATGACTTTTTCATCTCTCTTTGTTTTTTTCATTTATTTACTTAATCTTTCAAATTTTGTGAAAGAAATGTGTCTCACCTCAGGGCTCAGACGAGACGGCACCTTATACTAGGAGGATTAAAGACAAGTAGTGTTGAAATGTTCTCACCTAAACTCCGGTCCCAGACCATATAAATATTACAAGAACCATATTTTTTATTTTACTTTTAATAAAGCAAAACAAGCTTTGAATAAGTTATTAGGAAGGGCAAATATTATCACAGCAAAGGTGCTTTTGCTATTGAATGCTCACAAGTCGAAGGATGTTTTAGTAATTAATTAGAAGGTTAAACTAGTAATTTTAGCATTCTTAAGAGTCAATTGACAAGTCAAAGGACATTTTAATCATTTTATCATGTATGAGAGTCTTGGGCAAACTTGAGAGAGTATCATTGTTCGAAAAGATAATTAACCCTATATTATTCTTATTGTTATTTGGAATGGCTTATACAATATCTAATAAGTTGCATTTTTGCTACTACAATATACACATCACTTGTTGGTAGATTCATTTACTCAACAGATACAACTGAACTAACTCCTATAAGTTTGTCAATCTCTTCCCTATCTATATTTGAAAGCGAGGAATCAGTACATGGACCATTGGTTGACATGCTTTGGGTTTGGGTTTGCCAGAAGTGATTTCTTATGGTCTTAAATTTGGAGTCAATAATTGAAAACCCTGGGTCACAAAGTAGGTCTTGAACAGCAGTTCGACCTTCAAGCATGCTCACTGCTTGAGACATTGTAGGCCTAAGGGTGGGAGATGCATTGGTGCACAAAAGGGCCACATTAAGCATCACCATTGCCTCCTCTGATGAGTATTCTGATCCCAAGTCTGGATCAACCAACTCCAGCAGACTCCCTCTCTCCTGCAGAACATAGGCCTGAAAATATCCCAGAAATTAATCGGGATTAAATGATTAGTTCATTATTCCACTTGTTCAGCATTAGCAGATTTGAAATTTGAACCTAAGCACAGTGCTATAAGCAAGGAAACCATTTTAATGCTGAGCTTAGGCAAAAATATCAGAAAACTTATAACACGAAAGCTTGAAGAATGAAAAATATAGGAAGGGAAAGTAGTGCATGCCTTCAGCAAAAATATGGGAACATTTTAAACAGAAAAAGTTGAAGAATGAAGGTATGATGGGAAGGGAAATTAGAGCATGAATGCATGTAAGAAAAAAAGAAGTACAGAAGCTATCATTTTGAAGAAATTTGGCAATCTGAATATTCAATGAAAGTATGTTGTTAACTAAAATTAATGGGAGAGAAATGTGAATTTATATGGTAAATTCAGAAACTAATTAACAATTAATAATTTTTGCCAATAACTAAGAGCATTAAATTCAGGCAGCGAAAATATATTAGAATATTCAGACTTACTTTTAACATTTCTGAGTTTCAGTTATTGGCAAGGTACCTCGAAAGGCAATACATTACTTTGAGTCGCAAAAAGAGTAAGAAAGAAAAATTTAGAGAGATTTAATTACCCAGTCAAGAAGGTAAACAAAGTCTTCCTTAGGCCTGTAGTTTGTATTGGATTTTCCACTAACGATTTCCAATGCAACTACTCCAAAGCTATATACATCTGCTTTGTCTGTTAAATAACCACGCATTGCATACTCAGGAGCCATATATCCACTGCAGAACCAAAGGCCAGAGAAGTTTTAGAATAAAATGCATGGTTGTTTCAGTTCTTATACCATACATGTAGGGAACTCTAAACCACAAGGTTAATGAAGGCTTTAAAATATCTACTACAAATTATAGACCATATTCATTAGAAATGCACTAGGAATGGCTGTTGGATATATCATATAGGGGGCTTTGGAGATAGAATATAACTTCTGTCATTTGCATGTCACGTGGATTTTCCGCTCAGTTTTCTGCAGCATTTGGAAGAAAAAAGATAAATGCTTTATAATTGTAGTAGGAAATAAATAAATGGGTTTGCTAAAAATTGGTGACAAGATAATCACAGAATTGATTACAGAAAGGTAGCAAATGATGTTTCTGCAAACTTGAATGCTGATCTCGTGCAACACAAATATGAAAAACAAAGTCCTGAAATCAAAAAATACATGAAGAGATTGTTCCCATTGAGTTAAATCCAGAAATGGCCATACTTCCAGTTCATGTTTTGATCATCTGCTCCTTACTGCATGGACTCATGGACTATATCACAAATTACTGTAATAAATATATACCCACTCTATCGCTTAATCTTTCAGAGCAGTCGGTTGTTAGCATGGTAGTAAAGCCAAAGATCTCGTTTGAAACTAGGACATCTCTCTACTACCACATATAATACATTCACATAGATCACCCAACAATAGGGCTACACAAGAGGGAGAATACTGAAACAAATATGCTACACTTCTCTATATCAGCTGGAGTTTATGTTAACATAAATGTATTCAATATCAGCAATTTCACCATTGGACACGTAAATTTCATAAAAGGTTCATTGCAAATAAGGAAATTCAGGTATTGGAAATTGTTTTAGAAGAATGCTTATAGAACTCACATTGTTCCAGCAACCCGAGTGCTGATGTGGGTTTTGCCATCTTCATTGAGCTTTGCCAAGCCAAAATCTGATATTTTAGCATTGAGATCCTTATCAAGCAATACATTACTAGTCTTAATATCTCTGTGCACTATCTTCAGTCTCGACTCTTCATGGAGGTAGGTCAAGCCTCTGGCTATGCCTACACAAATTTTCTGCCTGGTAAACCAGTCTAGTTTCAATTTGCTTGTTGCATCTCGACCTGTTAAGATTAAAAAATACAAAGCATTTAACATCTAGTACCAATCAAGACCACCTGTTTGGTTTCATATGCATTCCAGCTGGTTGGAAGTGCTAAACTCACCAAATAGAGCACGCGATAGACAATTATTTTCCATATACTCGTAAATCAGCAATAATTGGTTTCCTTCAACACAACAACCGTATAACTTAACGAGATTTGGATGTTGCAATGCAGAAATCATTCCAATTTCATTCACAAATTCACGGTTTCCTTGCTTAGACTTTGAGGAGAGTTGCTTCACGGCAATTACTGTTCCATCTGATAGGAGACCCTGCATTCAGCAAAGAAAAGCCCCGACATTGTACTCAACAATAATAGTTGGAGCATTCCAATCATGGAATGCACTACAAATTAAGTAGCGACTGCTGCATATATATTGCCATTGTCGCTCAAGAACCAGATCTCAGAATCCAGCTTTCCTAGGATGGTCTTGATCTTCTTATTTTAGGCCTTACCAATATCTTTCTTGGAAATGATTAGAGAATTTCAGAGAAACTAGTGGGAGAAAAAAAAAACAACAACAACAACAACAACAAAAAAAAAACAAAAAAACTACTAATACTCTCTGACAACTTATCAACTAAATATGTGGTCATATACTCAAGAGTTATTAATTTAATATAAAAAATAACCAAACACCCTTTGTAAAATGAACTGAGAGCTTGTTACAAATGCATTGCTGCCAAAAATCATGCTGCTGGTACAAAATCCTGCCATCATTACAACCCAATTTTCCTGTCGGAAATCATCTGCTGATACAATTGACTTCACCTTACTTTACTCCGCATGTTCCAAATTTGTGTTTGTAAATGGTGTAATAATTATATACAAATTTGATTCTGAAGTTCCGATTTCCTAAACTCATGTAACTAACTACTCATGTATATATCTCACACTAGCCTTCAATAAATTTTCATAGTGCTTGCTAGTAATTTTGCTGTAGTTAAGTTCCTCGATTATTGTTGACTGGAATTTTTAGAAGAAAAACATGGAAAGGGAAGCATTTTTTCCCAAATCTTCGTAGGTAAAATTCATATGTTCATTCCCAAACAATAGTGTAGGACAACCCTTTCTTTTTCTCCTTTCCTTTTCTAGATAGATTCTATAGTACGTGATATGCTCATTCCTTTTTGGGTTTAATAAGCACCATATAATTTAGGAAAAATTAGGTATTAGTGACTAAAATTATTTTTTAATTATAATAGTTTATTGTGACAAAAATTAATTGCCCTTTAGTGACTATTTAAGGATAATTTTGTCAATATATTTAATTGTTTATTAAAAGATAATGATTAATAACCAGGGTCATCTTCTCCTTCACCTCCTAAAACATTGCTCCCAGAACCCCATGAAATAACCTCCTTCTCCAAAGAAGAGAGATAGAAATTTGCTTAAAATAAAAACGGGAGGGACTGGCCATTGGTGCTTTAGGGACGTTGAAGAGAGAGAGTGGGGGGTGTATGGTGTAGAGAAAACGGGAGTGGCTTTGCAGGGAACCTGTAGGGGAAAAGAAAAAGGTTCTTTGCATTCCATTCTTGTATAGTCTAGAACTCATGGGTTTGGTTGACATCCAAAAACTCAAAAATCTGGCTATAGACATGTAATAGTTGAATATATAACAGACAATGGTTCAAACTTGATATCAATGAGTGAATTATTCTGGCAAAAAGGTTTTTTTTTTTTTTTTTTTTTTTTTTTTTCAGTAAATATTTTCTGGGGAAAGATTGATTGTTCATTGTAGTTCTTCTCTTTCTTTGTTTGGTTCCATAACAATTTAAAAAGGGTAATAATGGAACAAAGCCTCAAGTGATCACTAGCAAGCAATTTAAATTTAGCTTTGGCGGGTATACTTCTTTTTGTAACTTTAAGGTCACTGAAATAATTTTCTTTAACTTTGGTCACCAAAGCTAATTTTCCGCACCCATGGCAATCTATGTTCATGAATAACACTTATGATTAAGGAATTAATGCAATTACAAATTTGATGAAAAAATATACCTTGTAAACTGAACCGAAACCACCCTCCCCAATCTTGTTTGCTGCATCAAAGTTTTTGGTTGCTGCTTTAATTTGTCTTAATGTAAATAACCCTGTTTGTAGATCTAGGCCTCTGAACTCTGTCAAGCATGCAGTATTAGATACCGTTAATGAAGGAAATGAAATTAGATATACATTATTTTGCTATGTCTATGTTCCCTCATTTCAACCGTAAAATGATATCAGTAAGGTGCAAATTGCAACACAAAATCACGAACAAGAACAAATAATTTAGTTAAATACTGTTGGGAGAGATAATAATAAACAAACACAGCGGAATAATTCTTCTCCCTATATGCAAGCAAATATAGTATATCTCTACTTTTATATGTGCTGAAAAGAATAGAGAACAAATCAATCACGCCAAGCCACAAGAACACAAGCAATTTTTTTTACGTGGAAAACTTCCCTAGTGTGAGGAAGAAAAACCACGGGACCTAGTCCAGTTAAAATCTCCACTATCAACCAAATAATGGGTACACAAAGTCTTCTCTAATCGCAATTACAGGCTACAAAACATCTCATCAAGATAGCAACAATCTTGGCAAAAAACAAAGAGAATTGGAGAGAAAAATACCAAAACCCGGTTACTGTTCACGGGCACGAATCACTGTTCCCGAGCTCAAAATCCGATCTTCACTGTTCAGATTTTAACTCATTGAGTCGTGAACCTCTCCTCCAAATTTCAGCTCGATCGGATCACGGACGAAGCGGGATCGGACGTTTGATGAAATCTGGGCAGAATAGAAAAACCTCCGTTTTTCTACCAAAACCTGGTTACTGTTCACGGGCACAAATCACTGTTCCCGAGCTCAAAATCTGATCTCCACCGTTCAGATTGTGCGTCACTGAGTCGTGAACCTCTCCTCCAAATTTCAGCTTGATCGGACCACGGACTAAACGGGATCGGACGTTTGATCAAACCTGGGCAGAATGGAAAAACCTGCGTTTTTCTTCTCTTTTGTTCTTCTACTTGCGGCTAACCTCTCTCTTTTTATACTAACTTCGGTTTTCTTTTCCCTAAAGGCTGGGCTTTGGGATTTTAATAAAACCCACTTGGACTTTCCTGGAAATAAGCCCAACAAATACCAGGCTTGCAAGGCAACATAAACCTTGTTTTAGTTTTTAACTACTCACAAGATGACATCAATACAGAAAAAATTCAATTAATCTGAAATAGAAGGGGTAAGATATATTTCTTTCTTAAACTTAACAAAAATTCTCCTGAATAGTCATATCCTAGTTCTCGCAAAAGAATAAGAGGTTAGTAAAAAATGTTATTAAGATTTAAGACGACTTAATACCTAAAGTAGAAAGTACTTAAGCTATTAAGACGACTCAATACATAGAGTAGAAAGTACTTAGTCCTATTTTAGGGCAGATGAAACTCATGAAAGGAATTTCAGTGTTTCTAGCCTAATGTTAACAAAAAAGACAACAAAGAAGATACAAATCCTGAACTTCTAATATAGATTGTTTTAGGGTATGAATCTTCAGGCTTCATTTTATATATGATCAAGCTGCTGGTGCTAGAAGCCAATGTATAGTTGAAAGAGGTGTACTGGATAGCTAGTCTTGGAAAACTTGATGGATTCTATAGTTGATTATGTAACTCTTGTTTAAGCATTCATTCATCCTCCTCTCAAGACGATGACTACACTCTCTTAGGTTCCGAGGTATTCTAATTGTCTCTAGGGACGTACTTCCAGGGTTATTACTCGTTTTGGTCCTTGCTGTTTTGTTTCCAATTATTTATTCAATGAAGAAAGGAAAGAGAATAATAGAATAATAATTCTAGTCAAAATCTTGAATATTGGGTGTTTTTAGCCAAATCTAAAACAAGAACAAATTCCTTGCTACCCTTCTTTGTTGCATGGAATATAAATATGGTACTACACAGAAAAGGATCAAAATAGCAAAATTATTGGAAAATAGAATACAGATATGGTGAGGTCACATCATTAATCAAACCAAACAAATACGAAGTATAAAATCAATAAATAACTTTTTTTCTCTTCCAACAATATAGCCGTATCTAGACATGCTTACTGTTGGTTTGACTTATGTCATTCGTGCATACAAAGTTAAAAGAATTTTTTTTTTTTTAAATTAAGAATACACCCAATATTTGTCCAACATATCTCAGGTCATGTATGAGAAGCATTGCAAGTAATGGTTCCTCCATAGAAGTTGCATGTATTACCTAGATCCTACCCTCTAGTGTTGATGCAAAATTCTTGCATTTATGGGAGAGATGAAATTATACTAGGATTCTAGTAAGCAAACATTTTATGGCGAATTATACCTTTATCTGCAGATAGTTTGCCTCCCAACCAGCCCTTCCTCCACAAAATGCCTAGGATCAGAAGGACAATAAGTACTGCTCCGGCCACAATACCAACCACCACTGGGGCATGTATCTTTCTTCTATGAATTGAAGGGGTTCTGAAGTCTGCAAATGAATAGAAGTGAAATTGCTGATCAAATTTTCATAACGGGCAAACTGTATAAAAGGGGAGGTGACCACTAATTGTGGGAACTTAAAAAATATTATATTATATGTTACATGCACATGTATCATGATAGTTCTTCCTAGTCAAATATGATCGCGATTATAAGACTTTATAAACAGCCAACAAGACATGTCTATTACTGTCCAAATCAGAAAAATCTTCCTCCTTTATTACTCTTGATTTGGAGTTCTCTCATGAGCCTGTGGCGTTCATATGCCATCAATATATCTAACTTATAGCCTTCTGTAAACCAGTTTCAGTTCAACACATTTAAAAGGCTTACAAAGTGAATTCAAAAAGTGATATAAAGAGACAACAGGTGACCATAAGGTCAGAAGCTTAAGCATACAGCACTCTACCAAATTTACTAAAGAATGGTTCAAGAGTGACTTGGCAAAAACATATTGGGATATGATGAAAAATTGGGGTTGGACTGGGTCTTCTCTTTTGATAACTGATTGTAATCAGGCTCCATTAGAGCCATTTAGTGACGATCAGTAAGACAAAATGTTTTAAAACAGAAGTGGAAATGAGAAAAATAGTTGGGATCTTTATTTCAATAGCAAACAGGCTATACCAATATAATATGTATGAGCTACTAATACGGGAATACAAGCATACAAGCTTAACCCTATCATGCATGTCAATCTCCCTCCCCATTAGGAAGACATACAAGAGGCCATTCGTAAAGCTAGAATCCAAGCTGTAAAAGGAGGCAAAAGTGACTGCTATAAAATGTTGTCTGTTAATTAAAAGCATGGTGTTTCCGCCCTCATAGTGGGAGGGGGATTTTCCACTGCCTTTGTCTCTTACCATGCCTAGGTGCTTCTTCGACTGGTGCCGGTACTGCTATTATTTAAGGGGAATTGAATAAATACTAAAGTTACAACTATTCTAACAGTGTGAGTTTTTATATTAATCAGTTGTTAACTTGATACTAAAGTAAAAAGGTCATGTAATCGATAACACTTCCCAGATTATACATAATGGATTCACCTGTCCATTTTACTAACGGGGTAGAGAATTTTTTTTTGATAGGTTTCATAGGGGAGAGATTAATCACATGAGGAATAAGTTCATAACATAAATACATAAATTACTCCCTCTCTTACAGCTTCAAGCTTTTGTAGCTGTCGGCATTTAAAAGAAGACAAAGGAGCTTACTAGGATCCACTGATATAGCCGATATAAGAGGACCATAAACTCCTCTAACTGGAATGCCTGTTGTCCCTCTTCCAGCCCAGTAAAAGTGGATCTTCAGCGTGTGGCTTGTGACAGCTGCAGTAAAAGTCTTTACTATGGGCTTACTAGTCCCACCAGCCTCATCTTCAATATTAAAATCCTTCAGTACCAATTTCTCCTACATTCAATGGTACGTAAATGATTTTAACATTAACTAATGTGAAATTCAAATAAAAATCCATCATTCCCCTGTAGTCTATAGCTTAGTCACCTGGATGTAGATATCAAATATGCGCTTCCCAAGGCTGCTAAATGAATTGTCGTTTGTGTAAACAATCTCGGCGAAGTGGAGTTTGACAGTGTAATTCCCATTCATAAGACAGAGTCCATAGTAAGTGAGAGAGAGGGGAGATACTCGGGCTGTTGTATACAGTTCTGAATTGGGAGCAGAGACATTATATAGAGCAGAAGTGTTGGTATTAATATAGCGATCGGCATCAACATCATTGTCCATGAAGTTTCCAGTGCTGCTAAATGCCCAGTTCTGTCCCGAGTAAAACATTGAAGCACCTCTTTCTTCTAAATCAGCTTCATACTTGGTGTTATTATTGATAATAGTTTCCTTGCCACCACAGTTGATATGCAAGGAATAACGATCTGTCAACATTAGAAATTCAAACAGGATTTTAGAAACATTAGTCTATAAACAATGATAGAAAGAAGTAAACATCTAGTGTTTTTTTTAAATATTCCCAATTGAAATTTCTCTATAGGATCATTGTATGACAACAACACACAATGTCTTTCTCACTATCAAACTTTATTTTAATCGACTGTCTCATTGCCTATTAATCCTAAATCAAAAAATCCTCATTATGATTACAGGGGATGCCGAATGAAGAAACAAACTAACATAGTTGTTGTCTTAGCAAATGAAGTAAAAAACAAGCATAGTGTTGTCATCAATGGGACTACTCTGCAAGTTATTTCCATTTATCTTTTGGAATATTAGTTCTGTTTTTAAAAAGTTCAATTCCTTTGCCCAAAATAGTTTGGTTTCTAGTGTAACAACTGACCAGTGCTTAATTGTTTACTGTTTATAGATGCTACGAATTTTGTCAATTCATCAGCTGATCATAAACACAAATACATATGAAGAACTTAAAACCCAAGTTATCTACTCACGCTGGTCACTCGGAGCAGAACATGGGAAGTTTTTCTTTAGGCATGGATGAACTCTACTTCTGCAGTACAGGAGGAAGAGGAGCACAAGCATCATTGTTAATATTATATATTGGACATAAGCAAGTCAATGTTTCGAGCTCTATTCGTAAGCAACAATCCACCAAAAAGAAGAAAAATGACAATCTTATCTAAGTCGATATGAAAATTTGAAAATTCACAAAACAGACACGTGAATATCTTACAATTTGGCGGTTGATGGGGAGAAGCTCTCCAATAAGTTTCTGGAGACACGAGTGAAAGAGCTTGCTATTAAATTCTATATACTGCTGTGTGATATAAAACAGAAAATACAAATTAAATTGCACTTACACACTCCCTCTAGGACATTCAACGGGACTTGAGCTTTCCCAGGTGAAATTATTAAAAGAAATATCCCTGATACCAAATGAAGAAAAAACATCAACATTTGCTTTAAATCTGTGGATCAATAATTTTGTTCACTTTTTTACGGTGGATGTATAAGTTAATTATTTTCAAAATCATACTGTTAAAACTGGTAATCATTATCATCTTGTTCTGATATGGCTTCATAGTTCCAACATCAATTGGGACAAAGTCAAACATTGCGAGAACTCATTCAAATAACTGAAATTGGAATGGATGCATGTAAATATATGTCCAAAAAGTGTACATACACATTCTTGTTTCTTGATAGGATCCATTCAGGTAATTGTCCATTAAGTTTGTTTCCTGTCAAATACCTACAACAACAACAAAAAGAAAAAAGAAAAAGAAAGAGGTCCTCATATTACTTTTAGTGAATTGGAGAGAAAGAAAAATAACTATGCAGGTGTCCACTTACATGAAATCTACTTTCGCCAGTTGGACAAATGTCGCCGGAATTTCACCAGTCAATTCATTAAAACTGAGGTCTCTATATTGGCAAAGCATAGTGTAAATAAGTTTCCCGGTAAATTAGAATCAAATCAATACTGATTCATATTATACTAGTTACAAATTTTAGGAATTTCATACTATAGAAGTTACATATTTTAGGAAAATTGGAAGTGTGTGTGTATATATTTGTTGTATGTTGGTTCCAAAATAAAAAACAAAATAAAAAATATGCGAATGAAATGTTACAACTGAAAATAGAAGGAAGTTATAATACACATACATTTTATTCTAATAGTATATCTAACAGAAAACAAGGTTTATGATCCTCATCAGGAAATTATTCACAAATGCAGCTGGAAATATATTTCCTAGTTGACACTAAATAAAGCCTTGCCAAATCCATTCAAAGGTATCTCTATCCCATGATTTTTCTTTTTATCACCATTTGTTTTGAGGGTTAAAAAATTTAAAAGAAATTTTGCCATGCGGTTGTGCTAAGCCATGCCTGTTGAAGATATAAATGTTCGTAAGATACATGATATATGGGGTCATTGCTTAGTGCAATGGCAACAGATCAGATTGACAAGCGTGAGTTTGCAGGTTCAAGTTTAAAAGCAGCCACTTTTTACAAAATAATGTCAAGAGTTAGATCTATCTCAAGTCTTCCTCTCCCCACACCCCCCATAGGCGGGATATAGACTAGGTAAAACACTTTTGTATCATGCATTGTACATCATACATAGATGAATTTGAATAGAGCATAATATGAGTAAATTTTGTTTTCATTCTTTTCTGCCTATTTTCCGGAAAGTGACAGTTCAAAAATATGCTAATGGAAGAAACTGAAAATTTCACAACTTTTAAAACTATCAACTACAATTTTTGTTGCAAGCACAAGTATAATTTGGTTTTTCAGTCACCAGTTCCTGCATCTATTTCTCCAAAGCACTACACTGACCTTTTTTTTCCCAATCCCAAAGAAATTAATAAGACAAATTTATGGACAAAGACTTAGCTGAGCCCATCAGATAGAACTACTTACAGATTTTTCAGTTTAGTCAAATCCCCAATATATCCAGGGATCTCTCCATAAAGTGAGCATTTCCTTAGTGTCCTGCATTGGATAATCTTAGTTAATTTTTTAAGAAGAAATGAAAACAATAATAACGAAGAGTATATCAGAGGAAATGGACAAAATAGAACTCACAATGCCTTTATCGAATGCATATCACTCAATGGTGGAAAACTGGACCCTCTGCCTTTTAAGTCACTAATCCTCCTAAAAATCATACAAAGAAAAAACAATCACTTAATATCTCATGCTTTTCATTAACAGGACAAAAATAAAAAATAAATATTGTAATTGCATACAGATCACTTAAGCTTGTCAAGGCAGAAATGCTAGAAGGAATGGGCCCCTCAAGTGAACAACCTTGCATGTGCCTGTGATATAAAGTAAAACGCAGCATTTGTTGACATCATTGACACATATATGTAAACTAAAAGAATACCCTATTGGCAATTCAGTTTTAGCCTTGTGCACTCCACCCTTGAATTTGCATGCACCCAACAGTATGAAGCACAAAGAGCTAACAGTAAAGTACCAACAGTAACGCCCATTACGATAACTTTATAGAGGAAGCTTACAGTTTCTCAATCTTTGTCCAATTCCCAATAAAATCAGGTACCTTTCCGGTGAAATTATTGTCACTTATCCTCCTAAAGTGAACCAAAGGAGCAAAGATTAATAAGGATGTAATTACAGGCAAATCAGTTTTATTAAACCAATGGGGTAGTTTGAACTGTAAAGAGAAGGAATCAAACCTATGCTTAAACAATTCCAAGAATATCATAACATGATAAGTGAAAAGTATGCTAAAGCCACACACTGCTGTCTTTTATCAACCATTTAGTTTCATTAGAATCACCACTTATAAAGAAAGCTTTTCCTTTCTTCTCAAAACAAAGCGGCCAGCCACATATTCAACCAGTGAATAATGTGATGAAAGGAAAAAGGAAAGATGGTGGCCACTGGCCACTTGGATCTTGCATAAAGGTAATCTATGTTGCATGACACTTTGAAATGCATGAAGTACCATGTCGGGCACACAAATAACATTGAGTATGGGTTTAGAAGCGAATGTATTCATATATGGTTCGAGATCTAACTTTCAAGCATTTCCAAAAATTGAAATTTATTATATTATTTCTCTTGTTACAGAACTACTTCAAATAAGTGAAGTGCCTATTATATCTTATTTAACCTGATCAAGTAAAGGTGTTGGTCCTTGATTTGAACAATTCAATGCATCTACTCTAGTTTAAATATAAAAACAGTGGTTTATGTAGATTCTTGATTTTTTCTTTTTCTTTTTCTTCTTGGTAGATAAGAGCCACAAGTTTCACGAGAAAGGGAATGCATACTCACATATCAGTCAAGCTGACCAGCTTGCCAAGTGCCGCTGGCAATTCTCCAGTAAAAGAATTTGATGATAGAGTACTAAAAAAGACAGTATTATAAAAATTAACAACGATAATTGAAGTAAAATTAGGAGTTGTTACCAGCCAAATTTCAAGACTAATGTATGCATAATAAGGGTGAAAAGAATTACAGCTTTTGTAAATTGATCAATTTTTCAATCTCTTGAGGAATGGGACCTGAGAAGTGGTTCCCTTCAATACTCCTGTAATTTGCATTTATTGACATCAAATTGAAGCAAAGTAATCCTAGATGACCCTGAAAATCATAACTAGAGGTAGCATAGTCTAACCTACACCAGTCAAATAACCTGAAATAAGATATGAACGTACAAGTTTGCGAGGGTGTTAATGCTGGTGAGAACTTTTGGAAATGGACCAGACAATCGGTTTCCCATTAACGAGCTGCAAATTCAGTTAAAAAATGTTTTACTTTATGTAAATTTGCCACCAAGCTCTACCTTCAGAGGAAAATCTTCCCCCAGAAAAAGAGAGAGAAAGGAAAAATAAGCATTTACATCAAAAGAATGTCTTTTAAGAGATGACAGAGTGAAATTAATGGAAGTAGAGGTACGTACAGTTGAACCAAGCGCATGGTAGCCCACTGGGGAGGTATAGTACCGTTGAGGCAGTTACGACTGAGGTCTCTGTATGATAGAAAGTGAGTGTAAACACCATTCAGTTTAAAATATCAAGGTCCAAAAGGTTAGTCATGTATCCAGTATACCCTTCCTAACACCTTCAATTAATAGGGACCACCTATGTAATAATCCTTTTAGTCATTGTCATATTTTGTTGCTTTAGAACTAGTCAAACCGTTTAGTTGTATATCATCATATGATTTTTTCCTTCAATATCTTTCTTGGTATGAGGATTATTCCCACCCCTTGAGCAGGACTATTCTCCAAGGACTCTCGCAGACCTCCCAAGTTACTTGCCACACAAGTCCTACAAGATTCCATGGAGCCTGGAATCAAGGGATTGAGGATCGGACTGAGAACCTCCATTTTTGAGGTGTGGTCTTGAAAAAACTGTTCTAAAACTGTTCTATCACTTAAGGTTGACATTGAATGAATTTGCCGTGACGCAATAATAGTTTGTATAACAATAAAATTGTGCAAATTAAATTGAATAACTCATTTAGCATGAATGGTACAATACATGCATGGCTTTTGGGTATTGCTTACAATGTCGTTAGGTGGCGAAGTCTGGAAAACTCAGGTGGAACACCTCCCGATAGATTTTGGGCTTTCAAAGCTCTGCAATAGTTTATGCAGGAAATTAAGAACAATTGTGGAAATTACTGGGTTGAAAGAAATCAACCACAAACGAGAAAACACAATTGAAAAATAATATATATATATATATATATATATATATATATATATTGGAAAAAGAAAAAAGTACAATTTAACTATACTTGTAATATGAAAGCAATTCATAGAGGGACTCGCCACACATAGACACTTAATATGTATTGGTCAGCTGCCCTTCTCCTCCAATAATTGAAAATGAAGTCAGCTAGCTAACCGGCCAGTGTAGCATTGACTGAGTTTTGAGTCAGCTTATCACGCAATTTATAGAGTATAATTTAAAGAAAAACACAGACTTTGATGAAGACAATTAATTCTACAATCTTGAACGTACGTCCCTTATGTTTATAGATTGTGATATTGGTATGAATGAAAGATATAGATATATACGAAATATTCAGAGTGACCAAGTAGATAGAGAGAGTAAAAACATGATGCATACATGGTTATGACGTGACAGGAGGTATTGTGGTTGAAAGAGCAATCGCAAGTAACAGAGGTTTCGATTCCCTTTGTGGAGATAGGAATGCTCCAATTCCCTTCTCCACTACACGGATCCTTGCCGAAATCCCAATCTGTCTTTCCCAATCGCATCCCAATCTCTTTCAATGCCTTCACTGCTTAATTTCAAAACACAACACAAACATGTTACTAGTAACAATATCCATCCTCCGTTTGGTTCCTGATAATAATATTAATGTAGTAACTAGAGAAACCAAACACTATAAAGGCAATTAAATTCAGCCAAAATAAATAAATAAAAATGGAAGATGTAGGTTTTGAGGTTAATTACGTACCTTCATCAGAATGGAGCTTGGGTGTGGCCGCGAATCCAGTGGTTGTGAAGAAAATAGAGGGAAAGAAACAGAGAATGCATAAAAGAGGCAGATTTGTAGTGACCAAATGAACAACTATTGACCCCATTTTGCTCTTCACTCTCTGCTATCCAAGAGAAGGAATGGAATGTTGATCCTCACTCACTCATATTATTATAGTCAATATTTGAGAGAAACCCAGAGAGCATGTGTGTTTGTCTGTATAGCTTGTGGGGGGTCTCACTCCACTGCTTAGACTATTGACTGAGCTAGCTGCATCATCAACAACTTGTGTGTTGTGCAGACACAATAAAGAGAAGGATGGTACCGCCACTACTTTTTGAGGATGACATGTCTTTCATCCAAAAATTTTTTTTTTTTTTTTTTTTTTTTGCGCACCCGTCTACCAATTATATTTTGTCATCTAAAGTGTGACTTATTATTAATTTTTTTTTTTTTTTTAAATAAGAAGGGTTAGAATTTAAATTAATGGATGTAAATAGTCCAAACATCACTTTAAAATTCACAAAATGTATTAACCCACTGTCATATTACTTAGGTATCAACATTTAATCAATTGATAATATTATATCATGAACAGTAAAATAGTTGTTCTGCTAAATACTTAACAGTTTATTTATTTACCATTTAGTTGGATTTACTTTCTCAATAATCTTCTAATTTTAATTCATTAGATAATGAATTTAGAATAGATATATATATCATGAACTTGTTAATTAATACTAAATGAATCAAGTTTGCAACTGTTCATGGAATTCCACCTGTGCTATTCGAATTGAATTCAAATTCAATTTTGTCATCTCATCAAAAGTTTGAACTCAAAATCTGTACGGTTAGAATCACAAACGCTCGCCATTCAACGTGCAAGTATTTTTATTTGTTATACAATATGATTGAGATGTTACTGCTACGTCGGCTGAAGGGATGGATGATTAATTATGAATGCCAATATTATCCTAGTATTACGTTAATAATTGTTAAATACTCCATATCCATCCAACTCAATGTTGAATAAAATTAAGACACTGCCATTACTAAGTGGAGTATAATATTATTAAAATACACGGATTACTAGAATCTTCATCTACTGGATTTCAAGAAAGAAGGCTTGATATTGACCATGAACAACGTTACGGGCAGTCGTTAAAAAAATTTATCCCTCAACTATCACTTTAAACAATAATCACAATAATTAAAAGAGAGGAAAATAGTCTATTGTTATATGTGTGTATGTGCCGGGCACAAAAGAGTGGGAAGTAGAGGTAAATGAAAGAAATAAGGTAATTTTGTGCTAAAATTAATAATTTAATGTCCTATTAAAAGTAGGAAATATGTAATGTATTAATGATACCTTTGATATGATTTAAGCGAGGAGAAAGATTAAAAGGGTAGTATTGTCAAAAAATATATATTTATAGGGTTTCACAAAAATAGGAAACATACCTTTAATAAATGCATTAATTATAAATCTTAAAACCAATGAGAAAAGCAATTGTTAATTTACAATGGCTAAGGTGACTGTCCTTAGCATTACTCTAGAGACCAAATTGGGAATCACAACTTTTAACTGCATATTAGCACTGATCATATGATATTATGATATTCAGTAAATTAATACTAGTAATAACTTTTACCCAACTACAGTATCCTAGTCAAGATAGAGAACCGTTTTCTTAATTAAATATTTATGAAAAATAATTTGAAGTTTTTTATGATGGTGAGTCTAATTAATTTATGTGAGTGAGAAGACATCTTTGATATATTTTGATCAAATTAATGGGTCGTGTGTGTGTGTATATATATATAAAAATAAAGTGAGTGGACAAATTAAACTTGCGATGCATGCATGTGTGCAGTGTGAATGGAGCACAAGAAGTGGGGACGACTGAGAATCTAAACAAAAATAATGAAAACAAAAACATTGACCTTTGACTACAATATAATCCAAGACTCCAATTATTCATCAAACTGCCTAATTTTATGATTTTTATAGCCTTAATTCATATTTCCTAAATTATTTCTTTTAATGGTGTGTCTCTATGATATTCACTCACTCCCATCATTTTAATTATGGCCTTAATTTAAAAATGATATGTTAACAAAATAGCATAATCACAAAACAAAATAATTGTTTGGAAGAATACCATAAAGAAAAAAAAAAAAAAAAAAAAACCGTACCATTATTTAACTCCACGCGTTTTGACATGACCATATTCCACTTCATCACGGTATTGATATGGAGAGATTATATACGGGCGCGCGTGTGTGTTTGTGGGAAGAAACTTTACTAATTTATAGTAATATTTCAGTTTTGTAAAAAGGAATTGCAATGTGTTGTTTCGGACCCTACTAATAAGGCGGCTGGTGTACGCGCTAATAATCAGCTCTAGGATAAGATCATAAGAACGCGGTTGTGCGTACGAGTTTCAGAAAATAAAAAATAAAAAACGCGCTTGCGCGATGTTACTACCATTACAAAGTGATGGGATGGGAGCAGACGTTATGATAGAGACCGGAGACTTCTATCTACTGTATTCTAAGTTAAGCCTCCTATTACCTGTTTGAATGTTGTTGACTTTGATTGCTAGCTGGCAACTTCTGTCCCTTATCTCTGGACGTCGACTTTGATTGCTAGCTGGCAACTTCTGTCCCTTGCCTCTTGACGTTGACTTCCAATCTTTCAGTCAACACTCCAATTAAAAACTACCATTGCCCATTCATCACATGCCGCTGGGACACAGTAATAGATGTAATGACTCGGTTAACTTTTTTTTCAAATTTTAAGAATAATTTTTTTCCGTTATCTTTTTTATTCTGTGTTTGGTTTCTCCTCACTTAGAGCCTGTTTGGAGGATGCTCTATCTTGTTCTGTGTCCTTTTTTACAGTGTAAATGGACACTATTGAGGACACCAACTTGTTTGGCATGGGTTGTATTGTGTCCAACAGTGCAAGAACAATTTGTAAGAGTGGGCCAATTTTCGGAACAAAAAATTCGTGTTTCAAAGTGTACCCAAAATAAAGCCGGCCCACTATTCATTATAGAAAGGAGAACAACAGCCCAAAGTTGGAGCATTCTGAGAACACATATTTAAAGAATCGGTGGAACATTGCCCTAATTGTGAACTTGCCTCCATCTCTATTCTCGTTCTCAACTGTGAACTTGCCCTATTTCTGAAAAAAAACACTCTGAACTTGCCCTATCTCTCTCTCTGCAACTGCAAGCTACAAAATCTACAAGAATTAGAAGTTCGAAACCCACCTCCATCTCTATTCTCGTTCTCAATTCTGAAGTTGCCCCCCCTCTCTCTCTGCAACTGCAAACTACAAAATCTAGCAGATCTGTGAACTTGCCCCCCCCCCCCCCCTCTTTCTCTCAAGAACACCATTGATTTATACATAGATAAGCTCAAACTTAGCTTTTTATAGCTAATTGAAAAGGACCCTTTTGGCTCTCTGATCTTATTTGACTATTTCTATTTGTAACAACCCACTCCACCACATGGTATGATATTGTTCGCTTTGGGCCTGAGCCCGCACGGTTTTGCTATTGAGCTTTACCCCAAAAGTTCTCATACCAATTGGAGGTGACACGATTACATATAAACACTTCACATTTCCTCTACCCAGGCGATGTGGGACTGTGCACCCGTAACTCGCCAGTGTAGTAGCCTGACAGTGTCTATTGCACCCGCCCACGGCACACCCGCTCACAAGGTCATCGATGACCTTGTGAGCGGGTGTGCCGTGGGCGGGTGCGATAGACACTGTCAGGATACCACACTGGCGAGCTCAGGCCCAAAGCCGACAATATCATACCATGTGGTGGAGTTGGTCATTACAATATTCCTCCTTCTATATCAGTTCTCTCTAAGTAAACAGGTAGATCAACCCAAAAATTATCGAATACGATTTGTGCGTTACTGAAAACGATCTCTATCTCAGCTCTGCGTTTTCCGGCGAACCCCACCTCTGCATTTTTCGGCGAACCCAAAGCTTCAGTGCGTGATCTATCGCTTCGGCGAGCTCTTGTGCGCTCTCGTCTGCCGATTCCGACGAACCCCACATATGCGTTTTTTTAACTGAATTTTTGTTTGATCAAAATTCTCAAATCTCTTGCATTTTCTTCACCTGCTAGCAAAATAGCTTGAATCCTCATTTTTTTATATTTGTCTATCTGAAATTTAAAAAAAAAATTGTTAGATAATATAATATATGACTTATTATTAGATAATATAATATATGATAAAATTTGTTTTTATATATATATATATATCAAAATGGCTTGAATCCTCATTTTTTATATTTGTCTATCTTAAATTTAAAAAATTTAAATTTAAATGGAGAAAGAAAATAATTGTGATTTATTATTAGATAATACAATATATGATTAAATTTGTTTTTCTATTTTTAGTAAAAAGGTACTATGAAGAAGCAAATTTTCTATTTACAGGTTTTTATTGGTAATTTTTTAATAAAAAAAAAAACCCAACACTCGTACTAATTTCATGCAATGAAATTTATTGGTAATATTTATAAGTTTTTATTGGTAATTTTTTAACAAAGGAAACCCAACAATTTTTTTTGGTGACTTATAGTTTTGGAATTTGTCACTTAAAAAATATATATATATTTCATGATTTTTTTTTTAGTGATTTTGGTTACACTTTTAAATTCTAAACATGTTTTGTTCTCATATTTCTTAGAACAATATACATTACCAAACATATTCTACCATATTTTTGTTCCAAAATTCTCAGAACAAATTTGGAACACCAAACATGTTTTGTTCTCATTTCAGAACATCACACTACAAAACACTTAGGGCCTGTTTGGGAAGTGTAATGTGATGTAGTGTACTGCTCTAGCCTAGAACTTAACAAGTGTTTTGTAGTGTGATGTTCTGAAATGAGAACAAAGCATGTTTGGTGTTCCAAGTTTGCTCTACCGAATCATGGAACAAAAACATGGTAGAACATGTTTGGTAATGTATATTGTTCTGAGAAATATAAGAACAAAACATGTTTGGAAGACTGAAAGTGTAAACAAAATCAGTATAATGAAAAAATAATTAAATATGTTGGATTAAAAATGTTTTTAAATAATATTTTCTTAAATACATTTTTTCTAACTTTATTAACTATAAAGTTAGAAAAAATGATTGTATAATTTTAATATACAATTAATATAACGAGAAGTGTATATATATATATATATATATATATATATTGTTCCTCCATTTATCTTAATTTATTATAAAAACCATCAAAATAAATTAAAATTTCCAAATATGGAACTGAAATA